TGAAATTGTGGAAGATAAGATTTCTTCTTTCTGACTTCAAGGTCAAATGAGAGTATTTACCATTCTCTCTCTGTTTATCTTTGGATGCAAATTGAATTTGGTGATTCAAATTGATGAAATGTAAGGAATATAAAACTCATCAGAAGCAACATGGAGAAAAATTACTGGGTAGAGATGGCTGGTAGCTCCACCAGTCCATGTCCTGGACTTTCTTTTGATTAGTAATTATTTCAATCTTTGTTATTTATTTTCTTTCTTCATTCTCAATTTTATTTCAGTTGTTTTGATTTCTGTTTTTGAAAGCAAAAGCGTAATTATGTTCTGAAGCATTTAGAATCGGAATTAGATGGCTGAAATAGCCAGCTGCAGGCAAGCAGCTCCTGCTACAACTTGGAGAAACAGCATCTTTCCCTCCTCCTTCTCTTCCTTCCTCCTCCTCCTCCTCCTCCTCCTCCTCCTCCTCCTCCTCTTCCTCCCGTACCTGAGGTTGCCCTAAGATCTGACCCCCTAATCAGGTAGCCTCAAGAAAATAATAATAATAATAATAATAATAATAATAACAACAACAACAACAACAACAATAGTTGGAAGGGAGCTTGGAGGTCATCTAGTCCAACCCTACACCATTTCAGACAAATGGCTGTCCAGTCTCTTCTTAAAAACTTCCAGTGTTGGAGCATTCACCGCTTCTGGAGGCAGGTTGTTCCACTGGTTAATTGTTCTCACTGACAGGAAATTTCTCCTTAGTTCTAGGTTGCTTCATCACCCCTCGTCCTTCGCTTCATTAAACTAGACATACCCAATTCCAGCAACCGTTCCTTATGTGTTTTAGCCTCCAGTCCCCTGATCATCTTTGTTGCTCTTCTCTGTACTCTTTCTAGACTCTCAACATCTTTTTTACAGCGTGATGACCAAAACTGGATGCAGTATTCCAAGTGTGGCCTTACCAAGGCATTGTAAAGTGGTATTAACACTTCACGTGATCTTGATTCTATCTCTCTGTTAATGCAGCCCAGCACTGTGTTGGCTTTTTTGGCAGCTGCAGCACACGGCTGGCTCCTATTTAAGTGATTGTCCACCAGGACTCCAAGATCCCTCTCACAGTTGCTACTGTTGAGCAAGGTACCCCCTATACTATACCTGTGCATTTGGTTTTTCTTGCCTAAATGTAGAACCTTTCTTTTTTCACCATTGAATTTCATTTTGTTAGATAGCGCCCAGTGTTCAAGTCTGCCCAGATCCTTCTGTGTCTTAAGCCTGTCTTCTGGAGTGTTGGCTATTCCTGCCAGCTTGGTGTCATCTGCAAATCTGATGAGTTCCCCATCTATCCCCTCTTCCAAATCATTGATGAAAATCATCCTTCTCGATGGTCTTTGAACGTCTTTCCATTTCCTCTAAAGCCCCATCTCTTATCTTGCCAAGACCCCATATTTTTGGAGCCGTCTTCTCTTGGTTGGGAAAAGAACTGGACACCGTTCCATTGGCCAGGAATGTCTCCTCCACTTCTGTGTTTTAGTTTCATTTGATGGCATCTCATGGGGGTGACCTCATGAGGTGTTCTTGTCTCAGCAGTAGCTTCTGGACAGTTTGCTTATCATCCTTGGCATTTTATGAGGCTATATCCTAGCACGAGGCCAGCTGGACCCCAGCATCCATCCCCTCAAACACCCTACTCAATGTTTCTGTCATCTTCCAACAATGTAGTTGAAAGCCGGAGCAGACTTTTTAATCCAATCTGCAGGGTGCTCGAATTACTTCCTAAAAGAAATCCTGTCTAAGATAAATGAAATTTTGAATATCCCGGAGCAGTTTTTGAGAAAGAAGCTATTAAAATGCATCTGTATTCATTGTGTTCTCTCCTACTTGGCAGGGCTAACAACATTTCTTTTTTAATGGAGTTTTATCATCAAAATTATTCTGCAGAAGGGAGGGGGGGGGGGAAATAAGGACTGCAAGACATTTCCCAGCGACTTAAAACACAAAGTTCCTTCCACTAGATTCAAATCCTTAGATTTACAGCATCCAAGGACACCATCGAGCCGATAAACAGGAATGGTCTTTTCTTCCCCCTTTTGTTTTTTAAGGCCAGGAAAATATACTTTGAACTTGCAAAGGCTTCTGAAAATGTCAGCAAGGCCAGGGTTCAACTGAGCTATCAGATGTAGGGTTTAATTTTTTATGAGTTTTGAAAAAAAAAAAGAAACACCAAAAACACCAAATCAAAAAGGGTTGGATCGTGTGGCCTTTAATGAGTGGGACATTTATCCAGCCAGTGAATAGGTTTCTTCTGTAGCTGTTGACATCCTGCTTTGAGCTTTTATAGCCAACGCTCTAACAGTTGAATCAAAGAGCATAGAATTCTAGATTGCCCCATCGTTTGGGGAGTTTTTAGTCCATATTAGGGGACCGGAGGCCAAAACCCACGCCACGAAGATGCTGGGTCTTCCCATTAGAGTTGCCGTGAAGGGCTAAAGCCATTTACAGAACATTTATTTGATCAAAAATAGAAGTTTCCCCACTTCAGCCCCTTCAGTAGCTTGGTTTTTAACTTATTGAATCTCTGCTTATGTTAACCTTCGATGTGTTCACGCTTCGCAGTTGCTTTGACCATGTTGTGAGGCATCCAGGGCCCACTTAGAAAATGAGATGGGCGGCATATAAATTTAATAAATATATAATAAAAAAGAGAGAAAGTTCCTTATCTCCCCCCCTCCCCCCCCGGCCCTCTCCGTAGCCTTCCAGCTCTGCTGTCCCCTCGAAGCAAGCGTTGGATGGCGCTCTCCGCAGGTAGTCCTCGACTTACGGCCACAATTGAGCCCAACATTTATGTTGCTAAGCGAGACACAGGGGAAGTGAGTTTTGCCCCGTTTTACGACTTTTCTTGCCCCTGTTGTTAAGTGGATCATTGCAGCTGTTAAGTGAATCTGACTTCACAGTCGACTTTGCTTGTCAGACGGTCGCAAAAGGGGATCACGTGACCCTGGGACACCGCGACCGTCATAAATATGAACCAGTTGCCAAGTGTCTGGATTTTGATCACGTGACTGTTGGGACGCTGCAACGGCCGTCTGTGTGGAAAAACGGTCATAAGTCACTTTTTTCACTGCCGTTGTAACTTTGAACGGTCAGTAAATGAATTGCTGTGTGTCAAGGACGACCTGTCTTGTGTTTATCTTTAAAAAAATCCCTCTGAGATCTCTGTGGGAGCTTGGAAACGTTCCCCCTTTCAAAACAAGATTTGGCCCAGTCTGCTAGTTAAGAGCTGCGTGGCCTAATCCAGGGTTTTGAAGATCCGAGCTATGGAACCCTTTCCTTTTTTAAAAGTTTTAAACATTCCCGTTGTTGAAAAGAACGGCGAGCAATGCTAAAACTTTCAGCAGGATGGCAAGACCACAATAGGACTTATACTGGCGCTTGCTTCGCTGTTGGGGCTGCTGCCAGTGCAGGATCCTCAACTAATCCGGTTCAGCGTCCGGACGAAAATTCCCTGCAAATCCAATTTTGTGTCTACCACTCTCTCTCTCTCCCGCTCTCTATCTCTCTCTCTTTTCCCAGCTAGTTTATCAAAGAAGAATCATGCATAAAATTGGGTTCTTTCATCTGTGTTCCGAAATCTTTGCAGGGGAAGTTGAGAGGGAAACAGACCACCTCCTTTTCGGAGACGCCACGCGGTTGAAATCCTGCCTTTCATAATAGCCCAACGCCAGCCTTACATGCAACTCGGTGGCAAAGGTTCCATTCTCCGTGTAACTAATTAATTAAAATAGGGGGGAAAGGTGGGGGGGACAGAGGCCTGGTAGTGTTGCGGTTATTGAATTAGTCATTTTTCACAGTGGATTTATAGCCTTCGTGAACAGACTCCCCACCTGACTGCAGCAGTGGAAAGAATCTATTTTACAGACTATTAAATTGGTATATGAGCAGCTTCAAATTGAGCTGGTGCTTTCATAGAGCCCCTTAATTCATTGACAGTTTTAAGGTACTTGTAGGCAGCAGTGAGCAGAGGGGGAAGGATGGGAGGGACTAGTAGCCGAGAGAGCTTTTAGAGACCTCTGATCACGAAAAAAAGAGAAACTTGACAAGTGGAAAGAGAGTTTTTCAGGTATGCGTATCTGCGTGTAAGGAAGCCGTGTAAGCATTCACCTTGCATTTATTTATTTTACTGTGTGGATGGATGGATGGATGGATGGATGGATGGATGGATGGATGGATGGATGGATGGATAGATAGATAGATAGATAGATAGATAGATAGATAGATAGATAGATAGATAGATAGATAGATATTAGGTGATAGATAGATAGATAGATAGATGGATGGATGGATGGATGGATGGATGGATGGATGCATGCATGCATGCATGCATGGATATGTAGGCCATGCCATGCTGTGTTTTGTTGACAGATTGGATGCCAAATTGTGATTTTAATATAGATTTTATTTGTTATTCATTATTTTATTCTAGAATTTTTAACTAGATATTCCTTGAGTGTTTTTAACTTGCTCTGGTCTTTGACAGTAATAAACATTGACTTGACTTGACTTGAATATATATAAATATAAATATACTTATATACAAAAGGTATGTGGACAATACAATATAAGAGATAAAATGGCCGCTCTAGAAGGTCTGAAGTGTGTTGTCATTCAACAGTTCCCTGTTATTTTGTGTGCCTCCCCAAATAATTTTGGAATCCTAGTCGATGCTTTTCTTTTAACTATTCTGTGTCTCCCAGAGGCGAAATGTTTCAGCCCTAGCACCAGGGGCTCCATTACGGTTCCACAAAAACCACCTTGCACCTAGGTCAACATGCAAACGCAAACGTTTTAGCGGCCATCTGTGAGAATCAACCGCTGCTTTATTCCCAAGCAAGGAAGACTTTGGGCATTGGGAACAAATCGCAATTATTTTCCACTTCCGGGTGCTTTTCTCCTGTGCTCCGTGCAGAAAATAACTCTGCTTTTTTCCTTCTTCAATTTCCCCTCCTTCCCTTCTTTAGCGCCAGGCTGCTGGAGAACGCACGGAAACAACTGCAAGAAGAGTTGCTGAAGGTTCAGAGCCAGCTCCTGGAGGAGAAGAAGAAGCGTGAGCAGCAAGAAGCCATGCTCAAGTGTCTTCAGAAACACATGCAGCTTCTCATCAAGGTAGGTCTCCTCCCTCGCTGGAGAAACCCAGGATGTGATGCGTGTCCTGTCCTTCTCTTGGTGGGAAACCCACAAAACTAATGAAATTGAGGTTTCTTATCTGCCAGGTGTCCCAAACCTGGAAACAGGAATGTCAGCCATCCAACCATCTCTTATTGTTTGTCCTAACACAGTGGTGGCGAACCTATGGCACGCGTGCCAGAGGCAGCACTCGGAGCCCTCTCTGTGGGCACACGTGCCGTTGCCCCAGGCTCGCCTCCCCCCACGACCCCCTCCTCACCAGCAGCCCCCCTGGAGGAGAGTCGCCCCCGAGCGTGGCCCACGTGGAGCAGCGCAGCCAAGGACATGGCAGCCAGGCAACATAGACAAGACTCTGCCCTCATGCCCCATCCCGCACAGTTGATGCTGCAGGGCGCGGGCAGAGGGCGTGGCCGCCATGGCGCTGCTGGGCTGCCTGGGTGATCTGCAGTGGGGTGAGGGCAGGGGGTGGAGCGGGGGCGCGGGCCAGTTTTTGGGCACTCGGTCTGTAAAAGGTTTGCCATCACTGTCCTAACATCTCTGTGTGCCTATGTTTCACTTTGCCACTTAGGGGTAGATCCGTCTCAGGATGGCTTGCTTATTTCTGAAATTGCGTCTGAATTTTTTTCCCCAGGAAGAGCTGAAAACATAAAGACAGTCTAACACGGTTGTCTCGTTGAAGCTTTCCCCTAACCCAGGCCAAAAAAAGTTTTTTTTTTTAATTAATTAAACGAAGACGATCGCGTAATTTAATATTAAACCGAGCAAATATATTACCTGTTAAAAATCATAACTTTGCCCTGCAAGCTTTAGAACCGAGAGTGATATTTAATGATCTAATTAGCATCTCCAACGGCAGGAGCAGTAGGAGCTGTAAAGAGAGGGGGGGGGGGAAGCAGCTTGCGTAGAATGGAAAAAGCCTTGGGCATTTTTAGAGATGTAGCTTATCAACAATTTTTTTAAAAAACCACAACGAATCGGTGTTTTCTTCAGCTTCGGCAACTAGGATGGGTTTGAATTCCATTTTCTTGTCCAAAGTGATCATCCGGGGGTTGCTGAGGCATCTAACCAGCTGGATTGCCTGAATCTTGATCACATGATCGTGGTGGGGACGTTGCCGAGGTCGTAACTGTGAAAAATGGTCACAAGTCACCTTTTCCAGTGCCGTCGTAACTTTGAACGGACACTAAACGAGCTGTTGGACGTTGAGGACTAGCTGCAGAACAGAGCTGTCAGCAGATTCTCACTTTCCAGGAAGCCGAGCCAGTTAACATTTTAGGATATTTACTTTTGACTGTTATGGCTCCCCATAATAGTCTCTCTCACTCTCTCTCTCTCTTTTTTTAAATATATATTGTATATCATCAGGGAAATGCCCAATTCTGATAGAATCGCTTTTGATGATTACCTTTAACGTCTCTTGAGCTTTTCAGGGCTGGGTTGTCATAACTCAGAAAGACAGTAAATGGCTTTTTATTGTACCCAGGCCAATTTTTGCGGCATGTTTGCGCTGTGGCCTGGAATTAAACATGACACAATCGGCACTGCCATTCCAGCATCATGTGTGTATTGATTCGGCCATCGTTGGCCGCTAATTTGTGGGTCGCTTATCCACAAGGCATCATCTCGGCTGTCACTAGTTGTATGAATTATCCTTCCTCTGCTTAGAGACGAAAACAACCTCGGAAGATAAAACGGCCGCTAATTCAGACGACGGGGCCGGCAAAGGAAACAGACCCGCGGGTCAATTTTTTTTCCTCTCCGCGTAGACTCCGCAGCCAATTCTGTCTTGGAAGGTGAACATTCACCTGTCAGGATAGCTGAAACGGACTCTGAAACAACTCGCTGAAATGCTTTCTTAATCACGTTCGGCTACAAACTCGGTTTGTGGCTAGAATAAGGCGAAAAGGAGCACCCCACAACTTAGATTATAGGGAGATAAACTGGAGGGTCAAGCTATTCTCCAAAGCCCCTGAAGGCAGGACAAGAAACAACGGATGGAAACTAACCAAGGAGAGAAGCAACCTAGAACTAAGGAGAAACTTCCTGGCAGCGAGGACAATGAACCAGTGGAACCACCTGCCTCCAGAAGCGGTGAATGCTCCAACACTGGAAGTTTTTAAGAAGAGACTGGACAGCCATTTGTCCGAAATGGTATAGGGTTTCCTGCCTGAGCAGGGGGTTGGACTAGAAGACCTCCAAGGTCCCTTCCAACAACTACTACTACTACTACTACTACTACTACTTCTTCTTCTTCTTCTCCTTCTCCTTCTTCTTCTCCTCCTCCTCCTCCTCCTCCTCCTCCTTCTTCTCCTTCTCCTTCAATATTGGAAGACTGCTACCATGTCACCCTGAGAGCCGAAGTAGGACTGAGATAGCAGCCTCATTGACTCACATTCTCATTCCCTAGGCTCTTCTCTGCGATCATGAGGACTAGAACCCTTTTCTTTTTAAATGCAAGCAACCCAGCAACCATTTTTTGCCGCTTTCTGTGCCTTATTCAAGTTTGCCCTGCTTCCGTCTGTTCAGGAGAGCAGGGCAAAACAACGCACAGGGAGTCCATTTCGTTGCAAATGAGATTATTTCCCTAAAATGCACCAGTACCAAGGTTCGTTCTTCAATCCCTTTTTCTTCTCCTCCTTCTCCTTCTTCTGCAATCTCCCATTCTTGCTAATACCTTTTCTATTAAAGCAATGATGAGGCTTCCTTCGCACTTCAGATGTAATATCCCTGTCACTTTTCTCTTGAAGGGGAATAAGCTAGGCTGCTGGATGATATGTTTCATCA